AAACTTCGATAATTATCACCCACTTGTTTGATTTGTAAGGCAGTCTCGTGAGAAGCAGGTTTTCTGGCATAGCCTTTTGACATTACTATCAGTACAAAATGCTGCCAGCCTTTCGCACCCACTGATGGTGTCTGGACACGTTCCTCCCGCTCCAGGTCTATTGCAAAGTCCACAGGTTTGTGGACAACTTGTCAGCGCTATTTGATATAAGAGAGGATCGCGACACATGGTTTGCGTGAAACCTTCACACTGCCCAACTAAAGAAAAGTTTTATTGCAAATGAAAATTGCGGCAATCACTTTAATCAGCTGAATTTATTCAACCGTCTCAACCGTCTTCCTGTAAAAGTTTCCGTCAAAAAAAAGGAAAAAAGAGAAAAAATCATTTTTCTCTTAACCAACTATTGTTGCAGTTATATTCTCTTGTTTTGCAGCACATTGCACATGTGCGTGGGCAAAATTCTTCAGCAAATCGCATTAAAGTTGCATCGTAACAACTTGCGCTTACTTTATAGGTTGCCGTCCTAAAATCACAGCAATAATTTATCGATCACTTCTAGTTTAACTTTTGAAATTTTCAAATTATATTCTATTTTCTATAAGCTTGAGCAAAAATTGAAAAAATAAATAAATATAGATATAACTATTAAACTATTTCAAAAACGGAGTTTAAAAAATATTTACGGATCCACTTGGTCTCGAAGTGTATTAGGAGCGCCAGCTTGTTCGAGTGCAAATATAGAAGAACACGCTGAATCTAAATCGATGCACGATATTATAGTTGGGCGCTGTATAGGCCCTTGTGCTCCTTGTAAGGTTTTACTGCAAATGGTAATCGGTACATCAGCTCCACCACTCGCGCCATAGGAAAAGAAAAAAATAATCCCAAAAACAAAATATATCGTTGTCAACATCGAATAAAGCGAAATGATATGGTAAAGTATTGACGTTATCCTTTTATAACTATTTTTTGTGATAAGATATTAATCAAACAATCGTATTCAATTCGACCAGCAAAATTTATTTGCCAAAAGTATATAAAAATAAATATATGTAAAAATATTTAACATGTAAAATATTAAATATTATATATTAAATATAAGTATTAAATATTTAACATGTAAAAATTTTTTATTTTTAATTTCTTACTTAAATTTTAGAATTTTAGCATAGAAAATCTCAAAAATTCTTCTTTGAATATTAAGCGTAACAATTCGTTTTAAAATTTTTTGCGCACTATGATATTTTTGCAACGAATTCGCTTAATATAACAATCAACTAAATGCACTTTGCGGACGGATTTGCGAATGAAGGAATTTGTAGGAATTTCCAGGGAGTCCCTTGGCAGTAGAAATGCAGGTGAATTACCAACATCACTCGGATTCTTGGACAGGTTTACTCCTGCGAGGAATAGAACCTCAATACTTGCTCTACGAGTTGAGCAACCCATCTCTGTGCATCTCTGATGTAGTACCTGGAATCTACTGAAGCTTTTGTCCTTTTTTATTTCTCTAATTTCTCATATCCTTTCTTCCTGTCGTATGGTATTCGCAGTCACCAGTGGTAATTTCTGATTCTTGTCTATTATCCACATCTGGTTACTTTTTTGCCTGTCTGGATGCAGAAGACAGCATCTTCGTCTTATTATTCTCCACGATTTCCTGAGGAATCCCTTATTTAGTCTTGGGAAGATCTATCCCATATATCGGATGTTCCTATAGGCGATGCCAGCTAATTTGTTATGTTTTTTTTGATTGCATTTTACATCTTACCTGCCACTATATTTTAGATTATTCATGGGGCATTTTCGAGCATCTAGATTCCTGTAATCTTGTATGGTAGGTCCCTGTTTCGATGAATCTGACGATGTGTTTGTTTTATACTGCTATAATCAATGCCTCAGTATTGCCTTTTAGTCCGGCTTTCTCAAACCACTAGTCGCATTTCGCAATGTCTACCGCAGTTATCTGTATATATAGCAATCCATGAAGGGCCTTGCTTTGCCTGGTTATGCAATAATATGGTGATATAATAATTAATAAATATTTCATGTTTTTTTAAGTTATAACTTATGATGTTTATTGTTGCGAAAAATTTTAACGTGGATAACTTGCGTGAAAATCTACTGTTATCTTTTATCTGTTAAGAAAGGTTCTCATCAAAAGAATTGATTTCAAAGGAATTAAAACAAAATTTTTGCCGAACACTGAATTTTTTATCATCTTAACAATATCATCTTGCCGAACACTGAATTTTTTTAGCAAATATTTTTTATAAATATTCCTTAAAATAGTTTAGTGACCACTGTGATAGGTATAATTCTTTTAGCTTGTGCTGTGGTCAAGCAAATTTGCAGGTGACCAATGAAAATGAAATGAGTGCTGCATTATGGTGCTAATCAAAAGAAAATCCCTTTCTCACCCTCCTGTGGGTGTTAAAGGCCATCATGTCAGCCTCGGAAATTTACAATTTTTTACCAGAACTTTCCGTAAATTCAAATTCAAAATCAAATCTTTATAGGGATAGGGTGGCTTAATGGGTTATTGCTCAATTCGGAGAACCAATACTTTGGTTCTATTTCTTGCAGGAATAAACCTGTCCAAAAATCCATGTGATGCTGGCGGTTTACATGTATTTCTATCGCCAAGGGACTCTCTGGCATATTCAGTGCGACAAACCAGTAGAGCGAGTTTAACCAGTAATGGTGAGGAATAATAAAAGGAATAATAATGTTAAAATAAAAGAAAAATGAAATTACATTATTTCGTTCTTTTTTGCAAACAATTAGTTTTTTAACAAATTTTTCTTTTATTTGATTATTTTAATTTGTGCTTTACCTCTCTGTTGATTTCTTTACCTAAATTTCCACGGAAATTACTTTCAATAAAGTACCGAAAGTAATAAAATATTATAATTCGTGAAGCTCGCTAGTGCTGTCTTCGAAGACAGTTTGCCATCGCGGATAAAAGAAGAAATTGCAATACTGCAATATTTTGAGCAGATAAATTATAGTGCTAAATAAGTAGCTGTTGGCAATATATGGTGCACCTAAGTAAATTTTTTTGATTTTTTAATATTATTTTGAATTTAAAAGATTTTTAAGTGGACATTTCACTTTTCTTCAATTATAAGGCATCATTATAGGAACTTAAATATTTTTGAAATATTCAATTTCACAATGAATTCATTTTGTTATAGGAAAATATATTTCTTTGCCTAAGGGTAATTAGTGAATAAATTCATTTTCTTTCTTTCTCCATGCGATTTTTATTTATTTTTTGAAATAAAAATTTATAATTAGCCAATTTATTTATTTTCTTCAGCAAATTTTTTAAATAATTTTTTACAATTTAAATATTATAAAACATTTATTGAGTGATTATTTATTAACTTTTCATTGAAATATTTAAACTTTTTTTTCAATTCAATTTTATTTTTATTAAATGAAAATGAAAACACCACTGTTATTAAAAGAACTTATTATTATTTATTATTATCATTAATTCTTGTTATTTGTTATTTTGACTGTTATTATTAATACATGGCGTTTGTCGCCCTGCTTGGCTGGTTTTCAATAAATATATAAATATAATAAATAAATATTATTATTGTAAAAATTTTCTTTTTTTATTTTCTTTCTTATAAATAAATCTTATAAATTTACAATTTTGACCGAAAAATTTTTAAATTTCTTGTGGGATAGCGCGAAAGGCAACTCTGTTTATAGACGATTTCTGTCTATAGTTGTACTTGAATATTTCGAAGCAAACTGCCGCGGGCCTTGGCAATAGGTACTGAAGGTCTTTGTATTCACTCTGGCATTGGCACAGGAACAATCATATGGCAAATAAACGAGTATGGTAATCAGTCAATTAGATTGTTTTTGATCTAGAAATTCAGCTTTTCGTAGTCAATAATGAGAATTTCTTCACTTCAAATGTTCAGCTTTTATGAGACAATCTCGTGACCTCTCACGTTCTCTGGCATATATTCGTCAATCAATTATCAAAAAACCCAGTTGCATCGCAATTATTGATAATGTTTTCAGCTGCTCAGACATATTGCTTAAAAAATATTTGACGTAAATTCAGTTGCGCTAAGTTTATTCAAATGATATGCCATTTATCAGTTATGCGTTAAATGAATTTTTCAATTTCTTAGTCGACAAGACTGCAAATATTTTCGAAACTGGAAATATCAAAATATTTATAAAAATATTTAATTATATAAAAAAAAACGATAATTTATAGATGCTCTAGAAATTTTTTTTTGAAAATTCCACAGTAATTTTTTAAGGAATTTTCATTAGGCAAAACTTAGTCCAAGGATTAAAACAGAATCGTTATTTCAATCATCCCTTTAACTTCCATTTTCAGTTATTACTTTCTAAGAGCGTTGAAAAATGTATAATTCTTTCTGAAAAAAAGGTTTATTTTCAAAAAAATTAGCCAATGAACCAATACAAAGATTACATTGTTGCTGCATTTTGGTACAATTTCATTTATATTTCACTGAGAATTATCTATAGTTTCAGTAATAAACGAATGATTTATCTGTGGTATAATCATTAAAATGCAACAAAAAAAACCTTAAATTCTAATTTATTCATTTCTCATATATCTTTCCAAATTATTGTCAATAAATACATAAAAACACTGCTTGAAGGTCTCAGAAAATAAAAAAAAGCACTATAGTTAGAAAAGAGGAAAAAGCAGAATTATTGTGCTATCAAGCATTTTTCCGGAACTCGACATGAATACAGGAAATATGAATATATTTGTTTAAATAAAGTAAATATTATCAGTATGATCGAATCTCAACTGAATATATGCCAAAATTTTTTAATAATCGTATTTGAACACCTGACGATTTCAAGCGGAAAAGTGATAATATTTATCACTTCTTTTTTGATCGATTAGAAAGTGAACAAAATAAAAAATCATCATAAAAAGCAAAATTTATAAATTGGAGAAATAGAATTAAATTATCTGACTGGTGAGTATGTTCCTTCTTTTGTTTGCCCTTACAACATTATGCGGAATTGTTAATGAAAAAGCTGAAAATATAAAAATTTGCGCTATCCCTGTATCTGTTGCGCAAAATCCTCCAAATTTTTTAATGAGACCTTCGGTACCTGTTGAGAATTGCCAAGATCGTGATGCAGCAGCTTTCAGCTTAATAAACAGTTCAGTAGCATTAAAAAAATTTTCTATTAAAAAAATAGTATCTATTCGGATTTCGTAGGTGCCATATTAGAAACCAAGGCCATAAATCTAAAAAACTTATTAGATCATTTGCTTGACTTTTCTTAAAAATGCTCGCCGATCCAAATTTTGATCAATTTTTTAAAATTTCATATTATAAATTACGAATAATCACCACCTGATGAGGAAGAAACGAAGATTTTCACGAAATTATCTATAATTCTCCATTTCAGTTGGAGGACGAAATAAGACATGCAGAAATTTTTCTAGAGCAATGTGCAGTCAATTCCCGAGTCTTGCATTACGACCACAGACCCACAGACTTGTGGCTTTTTTCATTTACCTGGTGTTGCAAATATGTGCCCCGATACGATCGATTGTGATGTTCTGATGCGATTGGGTATTTGTACTGACAATAACTTGAAAAATAGTGCCAGAGAACGGGTCGCGTGTCTACCTAACAAGTAGTTTCAGATAATTTTTTAAAAAGAAATTGCTTTGGTTGAGGAAAACATTTTTTGTGTATTTCAGCAACTTTATCTCCTCCAGCAGCAACTTGCAGAGACGAAAGGCTGAACTGTGCCGCAATTAGAACTGCACATAGCTGTAGCGATATGTTTCGAACAACAATAATGCAACAGTGCACGAGAACGTGCGGTTATTGCACGTAATCAGTGCAAATTATATATTACATTTATGTTTCATCAACATATAGCATAGATTAAAGTTTCTTGAACTTTTTGTTTATTCAAATAAGTGAATTCATTAAATATTGCACTTTTGGGAGAATATTAGCATTACTATTTCCACTGACAGTAAGCCACAATAAATTCCATTCCGCATCAGAAGTTTCCTTGAAATCCATCATTTTCGAATACTCATTTCATTATCGTATTTATATTTGTTATTTGTCGTTCGCTATTTTTCGGTTCTAAAAAAGGTAGGAAGGAAAAATATTAGGAAAAAATATTGATTTTAACAATTTAAAATATTTTTGCACCATTCGTTTTTTTTCATAAGTAAGTAAGTAGAAAAGGGAGTTTGTAAATTATAATATATTTTTTGAAGTTACAAATCCACATACGAGGTTTTGTTTGTTTATTTTTCCATAATTTGATTGATAAATTTAATAAAAACCTTTCACTTTGACATTCACGCATTATTTACCTTATCAGCGCAAGAAACTTATCAATGACTTTGAAACTTATCAGTGCATTCATAAATTTTCAAATAATGTTTATTCATGTTTTTTGAATTACAAGAATATTTTAGGATTATATTTTTTTTTCCTTTATGATAATTTTTGGATGCTTGCAATTTTTTTGTTGCAATACTATGTAAGATTTACAAAATTTATTTATATGAATTTGAAAGAATATTAAATATTATATTAAATAAATATTTAATTCGACTATTTACGTACAATAACCGCAAGTTCTTGCGCATTGTTGCATCATTGTTGTTCGAAACACACCGCCACAGCTATTTGTGGCTCTAATTGCGGCGCAGTTCTGTCTTTGGTCTCTGCAATTTGCTGCTGCAGATGGCAAGGTCGTCGCTGAAATACATACATTGAATGCTTATGCCTGCAATTTTCAACGGAATTTCCAATTTCGATACTTTATAATGCTTTTAAAAAATAATCAGAAATTACTTGTTAGACAGTCCCGCGACCTGCATGTTCTCTGGCACATGTTCTTCAATTTGTTGTCATAACAAATACCCAATCCCATCAAAACATCGCAACCATCGATAGTGTCAGGACACATGTTTGCAGCACCAGGTAAATGACAAAGGCCGCAAGTCTGTGGGCAAAGTTGCAGTGCAAGGCTTGGGAATTGTGTACATAGTGCCCTTGAAAAATTTCTGCACAGTCCTTCCCTACCTCCAACTGGAATATATATTTTTTAGTTTTCAAGCATAAATTAAGCTTTTGAAGAATTAATTTTTCGATGAATTATTTTTCATTTTTACTTCAACACCATTATTAGTTTAATTTTATGCATGTTACTTTTAAAATTGCTTTAGGACAATGCGAAAAGCAATCTTGTAAGCAAAATTCCTCGTCTCAGGCCAATTTTTCTCAAAGTTTTTCAAAAATTTTTCTTTTTTTAAACATTTTGATTAAGATTTACTCGTTTCGTGAGAAAAGCTAAATGATATAAGTGGCGCATAAGAGATTAAAAAATCAGTTAATCCTTACTGTATAAGAATAATTCAATTCTTACCATTATCACAGTTATATTCTTTAGTTAAGCAACAGGTCGCACATGTTCGCGGACATATTTGTCGAGCCAACATTCTGTACGCAGCTACCTGACAGTTTGCTGGAACTTTATAATCGTTGGTACTGCAATACAATAGCAATTTCAACGAATCCCTTTCTCATTTTTTGCGAGAATTTTTCCATAAAATTATTTAAGGATGCAATTCAAAAATTAAAATGCACTAAGGCCTTTCAATAAAAAAAACAATTTTTTTGTATTCGTTGAAATTTGTATCGAAAAATAAAAGAAATCTCAATAGGCTGATGGGTAAAATGCGAAATATAATTTTGCAAATTTGCAAATTTCATAGAAATTTTAGGATCAAACGTACTTTAAATTTTTGAGCTAAAAAAGGAAAAGATTATAATTCTAGAGAAATCTCAAAAAATATTTTTTAAAAAAAAATCTTTTTTACCAATGACAATCGTTAAAATTCAATTACTTTTACTGACCCCTCTGTTGATGGTACTGATTTAAATGCATCACATATGGATTCATTTCTATAGCAGTATAATCATATAGAAATGAAAAGAATATTTAAAAGCTTAGAAACTTACGAGACAAGATTCTCCGCTGGTACCTGCATCTCCCCAGGGTCGTGTTTGAATATTTCAAAGCAAGCTGTTGGATCACGATCATGGCAGTTATCGACAGGTACGGTGGGTCTGTGCACAATTCCTTGTTGCCCAGCGTTTCCGGGAGCACCAGGAGCAATTCCTACACCAGGATTTGGGGCAACGCCTGCACCTTGTGGGGGTACAAGAATAGGCATCGAGCAAACATCTATAACCACAGCACCCCCATTAGTTAGATTGTATAAGGATGCAAAGATAAGCAAAAAGACAAGCATGTTCACCAGTTAGACAATTTGTTTCCGATCTAATAAATTTGGTTTTTTATAGTCAATTTTTATTTGTTCATCCTATTCATAATTAATCAAAATGATCTCTTTTCTACTTCTAATCTTCAGCTATTCAAATATAGCTTTTCATGGAATTATGAATTTGATGGAATTATGACGTAAATTCAGTTACGCTAAGTTTATTCAATTGATAAGTTATTGATCACGGTATCAGTTATTAATAAAATTAATTTCCCTTTTTTTGAGATAACTTATCGCCAAAGTATAAATTTCTCTTTTATTTCTTAAAAGAACGAAAATTTCTCTGTTTTATTCAAATTTTCATCGTTCTTTAAGGAAATTTCGAGCGATGAAATAATTCCGCATAAATTTCGACTTAAAGCTCATAATGATGTAGGAAAAACTGGAAATACCGCTGAAAGGAAGAAATTTAAATATTTTCAGCTTTATTATCTCCAATTTATCAGCTGCAAGTTGTAAAAACGATAAACAGAACTGCAGTACTGCAACTAGGGCTACAAATAGCTGTTGCTGTATGTTTCGAACAACAATGATGCAATATCCAACTGAAACGTGCAGTTATAGTCAATTATATTTTATTTTATTATATCATCACTACTGATACGTATAAAGTTCCCTCGGATTCTTGTTCGTCATATTAATTTTCTTAACAATTTTCAACAGGCGCTGAAGGTTCTTGGACAATTCCTGGCTGTGCACTGCGCCCTACCAACGTCTGGACTTTATGCAGGTACAAGAAATAGCAAAGATAAAGCTATGTCCGTTGTTTTTCCATTAGCGAAATCGCTTAATGATGCAACAAGGACAAACAAAAAGCATTGATCATTAATCAAATCATTTATTTCTCATCCATAAATTTGCTTTTTAATTTTTTGCTTTTCATAATTATAATCAATCAAAAAGTGGCCACTTCTTCACCTCAAATAAAGGTGATTTTTGAATTAGCATAAAATTCTATTAAGGAATTCTTATTAGGTTGGAATGACTTCAAAGGAATTAAAACAGAACAGCCATTTTTGCCAACTATTTATCGAACTTTCAAATTTATCAATAGATATTTTTCTTAAAAAATTCGTTCAAATAATTTTTTCTATAATCAATCAAAAAATTTCGTTGAAATTTCGTTATAATTTTGGCAAAAATGGTGCTTTAAAAAAAATTTAAGCGAATACTTAGCTAGCGGAAATGAAAAGAATGCACTGCTCCATCTCATTGCTATTTCGTCCATATATCCCCAAATTTCTGCTGACGATTCTCCTTCCTTCCTCTAGCAACTCTCACCGTTACTGGTTTGGCTGGCTCCGCTGGCTACAAAGCTAAGGGTAAGCGCCTACAGACTGCTCAGTCTGACGTCTTCGCTAGTATTAACACAAGCCATTGAAGACAAGACTAAGGCGAATTAAATGCAACAAATAGAATAATAAAAGAATTGTTTAAATTAAAAAAACAATTTATAAGTTATTTTAACCAGTCTCATATATTTTTCCATATCATTTGTGTTAAGAATAAACAAACTAAATAAATATGTGAATGTTTCCGGAATCACAAAAAAGTGTTATAATTAGAAAATAAGAAAAGGAGAATTATTTTTTGCGCAGAACAGAGGACTTTTCGAGAGATATTTCCGTAAATATTTCCACCAGAAAACGACTACAGGAAATGACAATATTCATTTGTTTATATAAAATGAACTTAATCCGTTCAACGAAAGTACAGGTCGTATTGATTTGCAACAAATTTTTTTACTTAAAAAACCTTGTTCAATACTCAGATGTTCAAAAGAAAGAACAATAAGGTAGGAAAAATTTCTTACGATTTATTGAAAGAATGGTGAAGGGGCGATAACGATTTCCACTAAGATTCAATCTAGTTCCTCTCGCATCTCGCCAGAATTATGTGAAGCTAAGCATTCATTTCTATTCTCGAATGTCTTCCACTGTTAGAGAAAGAAGAAGGAATTATTTAAAGAATCATGAAAAAATCGGAATCGAAAGAATTTAAATGTTGTTAAATATATAAATAGGTCCCATTTCCTTTTCTGTTCACATCTATAAGGATCATTAGAATTAAAAAATTCCATTTCAACCCATGGAATCGTTTTCCCTTACTGAAATCGTTATTACTATTTTAAGTTCGCTGACGTACAAAGCTTGACAAATAAATTCTCATAATTATTCATTCAATTTTATTTCTAAAATAAATATGAAATATTTTGGATTGAGTGACCACCAATATTTTAAATCAACGGCTAATATACGAAAATCATAGAAACTATCAAAAAGTTTATCGAAATTTCCATTTTTTAGACGAGTTTCTCGATTCTTCGCAAATGTAATGTAGTGCCAGCGCCATTTCTGCTGACATATCGTTACCTAAATTTATTTAAGCAATACATTTCAAGCCATGGAAAAGAAAGACTGTTGCTAAAAATTTAAACGCTGTAGGAGATTGTTGCAAGTTGATAATAAATATTCATGATATTGAAAATTAGAGATAATAAAAATTTCAAAATCAGGAAGCAATGATATTCTCCGATCTCGGATCGAACTTCCTAAATTTTTCACGGTTATTTTTTTTTATTCATTAGCTTTGAGTGAAATGACTTCAATCTTCGATGTTATTTCCTTGAAGAACTGATAGAAAAGCCATTAACCAAATTAAATGCAAAAAATAGGAAAACTCGAATTGGAAAGCAAATATTGTCGTTATTAATTATATAACAATCAATTTCAACTGAATATACGTATAGAATTTTTTCAACAATCGTATTTGAACATCTGACGGTTTTCTAACGGAGGAGTGATAATATTTATCGATATGAAAAACAAATAAATTTTACAACTATAAAAAGCCTAATTTTCAGATTGGAAATTATTTGATTAAGAGTATGCCATTTCCGTTGATTGTTCTTGCGCTTTTATGCGAGATTGTTAATGGAGCCGATGAGAATATAAAAGTTTGTTCTATTTCTGTCCCTGTACCTGGGCAAAATAATGCTGTAGTGAGGCCTTCGGTGCCTGTCGAGTACTGCCAAGATCGTGATGCAGCAGCTTGCTTCGAAATATTCAAGCCGACGGACAACAATATATTCGCGAATAATCGTATGCCGTGAGTCGTTCTGGTCATAAAAATTTTGTTTCGTACTTATTTCGAAATGAATATATCTCTTTTTCGAAGAATCCATCTATAATACTTTAAATCATTACTATCAATAGAATAACTACCGAAAAATTTGTTAAATTTTAGCGATGAAAACAAATATATGTTGAAAAATGATGCTCTTCTAATTCAAAATTTCTTACATTTTTTTTTTGGTTTTTGGTCAAAATTCCATTAGAAATGAAAGAATTTCCAACCATAGCTGAAAATATGAAGGAAGGGAGCAGAATTTTATAAAGTCTTAATGTATTGCAGTAATCAGAATTATCAGGTCCTAGACAAATGTCAGCAGGAGCCCTATATAATGTTAGCTCGGCAAATGTGCCCATGGATGTGCGCGACTTGTTGCATGACTAAGGAATATAATTGTGAAAATGGTAAAGTTTCAATACATTTAACAATATTTGAAATTATCTCCATCAATTTCTATAAATTTCTATAAAATACTCTAATAAAATTTCTAAGAACGTTTTTTCAATTTTCTTTCATTAATTTATTTTGAACAGTTCAGCGGTTAATTAATTTTTTCGAAATCAGTTCATTAGCTTCTAAATTGTGACATTGTAAATTGCTTATATCACGGAAACTAAGTTAGTAAAAGTATAAAAAGCATTTGCAGGAACATCTGCCTGACCATTGAGAACCTTTTTAAGCATACAAGCCACTGCCAAATCCAATAATTCCAATTTTAAAATTCTTATTTTAAACCAATTCCATTAGAGCCAAAAATATAAAAAAAACTATGTGCATGAGATGCGAAAAACGACTTCTAAAAAAATGCTGACAGAAAAGAAAAATGATTCAAATACATTGCTCTTTATTTCAGTTGGAGGTCGGGATGGTGCATGCAAAAATTTTTCAAGGGCAATGTGCAGTCAATTTCCAAGCATTGCATTACGACTTTGCCCGCAAACTTGTGGCCTTTGTCATTTACCTGGCGCTGCAAATATGTGTCCCGATACCGTCGACGGTTGTGATGTTTTGGTGCGATTGGGTATTTGTTTTGACAACAGATTGAAAAATATGTGCCAAAGAACTTGCGGGTCGCGCGACTGCCTAACAAGTAATTTCAGATAATTTTTTAAAATATTCTACATGAGTGAAATTAGAAATTAGAAATTCCTTTGGATGTGGAAAACATCATTTTTTGTAAATTTCAGCGACGACTTTATTGCCTCCACCGACAACTTGCAGAGACGAAAGGCAGAACTGCGCTGCAATTAGAGCCACAAATAGCTGTGGCGGTGTGTTTCGAACAACAATGATGCAACAATGCGCAAGAACTTGCGGTTATTGTACGTAATCAGTACAATTATATGTTATTTTTATTATACCAATACTGATACGAATAAAATTCGCTCGAATTCTTGTTCGTTATATTCATAAATTTTTTGAACGTCCTTCTTCTTCTTCTGTCACCATTATTAATAGGCTGGCTTCGCTAGAAGTATTTCCATGCTGCTCGATCTGATGCTCATCGCATCGGTATTAACAACCTTTTTCAGTTGACTATTTCCATATATCGCTATATCTATATATCCTATACATTCAATTCAGTCTTTCAGTTCAAATCTTTTCTAATTCTATCAGTCCCTATTGTGATTGCTTCTCTCCGCGAGAAAACAGATTCAGCTCTTACGATGGACGACTTTCTTAAGAATTAAGAGCGAAAATTGCTTTGCTCCAGTCATCTGGTATTATTTCCTTCTTCCATAGCAGAGAATACATTTACTGAATGTGTGATAGACGGTGTACAACATTTGAAGTATTTGTCCCAAAGATCAGCCTTAAGCTTATGAATAAAAGAGATTATTACCTGTTCTTCTGATGGTTCGTAATTATAAGCATATGGTTCGATCACCTATATTCTGGACATGACGCATCGTGGTTAATTAAGTTTTTCTATGATATAACATATTTATTCATACTTCTAGTCACATTAAATTTTTTCAATCCATGAATCCATATCCATTCTTGCATAAAATTCCACTGTAATCTTTAAAGAAATTCGCATCGGATTGAATTGTTGTTAAATTGTCGATAAATAAAACAGAATTTTACCATTTTATCCATCTATTTATTGAATTTCCAATGTTTTTAGCGAAAATTTAAAAAAACTCCTTCGATTTTTTCCAACGACAAGTGCAGAATTGTTGAATATGTGAATTTTTCAAACACAAAAAAGTAGATTTCAAAATTGAATTTTGCTGAGAATTATCATCTATAATTCCTCTCAGTAATCAAAAAATGCCATCGCTTCTACGTTATGATTAACTATTAAAGTGACTGCAATGCAAACAAATATTCACTTCCACTTATTTTTCAGCCATTCTCATATATTACTTTATATTCCATCATTTGTCCATTATTTTGAATAAATATATTAATTAAATATTTAAGGATAAGAAAACTCAACAAAAAAGTTGAAAGAAAATAATTTTTCAGCGGAATGGAAAAGCATTCCTACTGGAAATCGTGTGAAAATACAGCGAATCATAGATATCATTCTTTTTCATAAAATTTTCTCAATCATTTTCTAATCAATTATTGAATTATGCAGATATGAAGTGAAGAATTCGATTAAGGTTCTAATTCTGATTCGGTGGAAGGAAGATTAAAATTATAGGAATTTTAAGGATATACTTATACTTCTATCTCGGAAAGGAAAAGGAAAAAGTTTGCGAAAAAATTTGAAGTTATTGAACATCTGTGAAGAATATTTAATTAATCTATAAGGCTTGGTGCCGAATTTCACGTAAAATTTTACAGAGGTGACCAATGAACTAATTCCCCTGAATTCTCCTAAGCATGCCCTATCACAATTTTGTAAATTGCGAATTGTAAATAGATAGAATTTTCCTTTCTTCGATCAGCTAATAGTGGTTCATTTGTTAAAGAGAATTGATCCATGGGCGGTTGGAGATTTCAGAATCTGAAAAAACCTCTGTAAAATTTTTTCTCACCTTATTGCAAGTATTATCAGCTTTACGCATTGACGAAAATTAGTTCTCGCTTTCCACTCAGTTGCAAAAATATGAATTAGTGAGAATTTCAACTAACACCTGGAACGGCAGCACACCACGATTAAGATTAATCTCAAAAAGTTCCTTTCATCAGGTCTTCACAAAGCAGCCTTTAAGAATTCTTATATTTATAATTATTCACATTTGTTCTGAAGATTTCTGAAGCGTATGGTGTAAAATCTAGAAAAGCTAAATGCAAAGATGCTATCACCTGAGAAGATGTCTTTATCTTTATGTGCACAAATATGTGCATATATGTACCGCACGCTTGCAAAGGAGTCACTCTTGCAGCCAGTGGAGCCAGCTTAACTAATAATGGTGAGAGTTGTTAGAAGATGAACGTACATAAATATAATTTATAGTTGTGTGAATGCAAAGGAAATAAAGAAACACTTAAATAAAACAAATATGTATGTAAATTATCATTAATATTTGCTTATTTTCCGATAATTCCAGTGCAATAAGATTACTGAACCAAGCATTACGTTATCATTAATTACTATACCGATATAAAATATACATTAGTATTTCAATTAGTACAAAAGTACCGAAATAAAATATTTTTTGTTAACTTTATCAATCAAAATACTAAAGAAAAAAAATTCAGTGAACAAATTCAGCCTGTAACTTTTTTAACTTTTATGATATATAACTTTTTTGCAGTAGAAACAGTGAATATTTTTTGCTATTTCCAGGTAGGTTTCCAGGTGAATTTATTTATTTATGATGAACAAGAATTTGAAAAAAAGAATATTATTTTAATATAAATATTATATATAATTCTATTATTCATGTACAATAACCGCAAGTTCTTGCGCATTGTTGCATCATTGTTGTTCGAAACACACCGCCACAGCTATTTGTGGCTCTAATTGCGGCACAGTTCAGCCGTTCATCTCTACAAGTAGCTGCTGAATTTGATAAAGTCGTCGCTGAAATTCATGAAAATGTTTAAGTTGTCATTTTCAGTAGAATAATATCTACAAAAAAGAAAAAGACTATCAGAAATTACTTGTTAGACAGTCTCGCGAGAAGCACGATCTCTGGCACAAATTCTTGTATCGATTGTCAAAACAAACACCCAATCCCATCAAAACATCACAACCATCGATAGTGTCAGGACACATATTTGCAGCACCAGGTAAATGACAAAGGCCGCAAGTCTGTGGGCAAAGTTGCAACGCAAGGCTTGGGAATTGTGTGCATAGTGCCCTTGAAAAATTTCTGCACAGTCCTTCCCTACCTCCAACTGGAATATATATTTTTCAGTTTTCAAGCATAAATTAAGCTTTTGAAGAATTTTTCGATGAATTATTTTCCATTTTTTCTTCAGCACCATTATCATTTTAATTATATGCGTAATACTTTTAAATTTTCTATGGGACAATGCGAAAAGCAATCTATGTGCAGTAAGCGAATTTCCTTAAAGTTTTTCAAAATTTTTTCGGTCTTCTTTCATAAATTCAATTAAAAATTACTCGTTTTATTAGAAAATGATTTTTGAATGTTATGCGTATGACATTGAAAAAATTTTCAGTCCTTATTATATAAGAATTATTCAATTCCTACCATTATCACAGTTATATTCTTTAGTTAAACAGCATGTCGCACACGTTCGTGGACACATTTGTCGAGCCAACATTCTATATGCAGCCATCTTACAGTTTTCTGGAACTTTATAATCGTTGGTGCTGCAATACAGTAACAATTTCAATGAATCCCATTTTCATTTCATTATTCATTTTATTTCTCATTTCATGAACTCATTTTCTGCGAGAATTTTTCCATGAAATTATTTAAGAAGGCAATTTAAAGATAAAAATGCAGTGAGATCTTTTAATAAATTTACTTTTATATTCACTGAAATTTATTTCAAAGAATGAAGATAATCTCAGTGGATATTTGATGGGTAATGCGAAATACAATTTCATTTTTCATAGAAATTTTATTATCAAACTTACTATAAATTTTTGAGCTAAAAAGGGAAAGATTTTAATTTTAGAAAATTCCTAGAAAAATATTTTAAATTTACAAATTTTAAATTTACAATTTTTTTACCAGTGAGAATCCTTAAAATTCAACTACTGATCCCTTTATAGTTGGTACTGACTTAAATGCATCACATATCATTCATTTATATAGCAATATAATCATATAAAAATGAAAAGAATATTTAAAAGCTTAGAAACTTACGACACAAGATTTTCTGCTGGTACCTGCGCATCCCCAGCATCGTATTTGAATATTTCAAAGCAAGCTGCTGGATCACGATCATGGCAGTTATCGACAGGTACGATGGGTCTGTGCACAAATCTTTGTTGCCCAGCGTTTCCTGGAACAGGGGGAACTCCTACACCAGCGCCTGCACCTTGTGGCGTACAAGAACAGGCATCGAGCAAACGTCTATAGCCGCAGCACCTCCATTAGCTAAATTGCATAATGATGCAAAGATAAGCAAAAAGACAAGCATGTTCACCAGTCAGACAATTTGTTTTCGATCTAATAAATTTGGCTTTTTATAGTCAATTTTTATTTGTTCATCATATTCATAATTAATCAAAATGAGCACTTTTCTACTTCTAATCTTCAGCTGTTCAAATATTGTTTTTGATGGAATTATGACGCTAAATTATGTTAAATTCATTCAATTGATAAGTCATTATTCACGGTACCAATTATTCTTTAAGCGAATTTTTCATTTTTTGAATGATAATTTATCACATGAAAGGGAAATTTTCAAATTTTTTTTTTATTTCTTAAAGGAACGAAAATTTTTCTGTTTTATTCAAATTTTTGAAGTTCTTTAAGGAAATTTCGAATAGTGAAATCAGTAATTCCGCTTAAAAATTTTGGCCTTTAAGCTCAAAATGATATAAACAAAATTGGAAATACTGGAAAAACGTTTTAAAAAAATAAAACTTAAAATATTTTCGTGTATTTCAACGAGACTTTATTTGCTTTTCACTTATCAGCAGCAACTTATAGAGCCAAAAGTTTGATTTACTGCAATTAGGGCCACAAATAGTCGTTGCAGTGTGTTTCGAAGAACTATGATGCAACAAGAATTTGCAGTTATTGTTCGTAATCAGTACAATTATATTTTATTATATTTTATTTTAATTATATTAAGACTAACATGAATAAAGTTTCCTCGAATTCTCGTTTCGTCATATTAATTAATAATTATATTGGACTATTCAATTTTTCAAGTAGTTGCGTTTGAAAATAAATGCGTTAAATGCGATTTCATTAGAAATGGTAAAATATTAAATAAATTTTTTTATTATCGTAAAAAATATAAATACAATTATTTTTCAATGATTCTTGGAACTTTTGTTTACAGTGTTATGGACATAGTCATAGAAAGATTTTACCATTGTAGTATTTAACTAATAAGAGTTACGAGATTATACGCGAAATCATATTTAGTCAATTTCGAGAATTCACCATCATGTGATGCCTTTGCAACCATGTCCCACATGTGACACCTTTGCAACCATGTCCCACATGTGGCACCTTTGCAACCATGTCCCACATATGACACCTTTGCAGCCATGTTCCATATGTGACACCTTTGCAGCCATGTTCCATATGTGACACCTTTGCAGCCATGTTCCATATGTGACACCTTTGCAACCATGTTCCATATGTGACACCTTTGTAACCATGTTCCATATGTGACACTTTTGCAACCGTGTTTCATATGTTTGCAATCGTGTTAAATATATGAGATTTCCAAGCAATGTTTTTCCACTTCTCTCGCAATCTACTGAATCTCACTAGTATTGTAATTAAAAATTTTTGCCTAAATATTCGAACAAAATTTGGAATAAACGAGTCCCAGGGTGTCGGGTTTCCATTTGGAGTGAAACCCGCTCCTACAGTTTTTCTGTGATTCATTTTCAGGTTGGAGTGAAAAAATATTAAATAGTAGAAAGATATGCCTATCTACTTTTACTACCCTTAAAGCTTATTATAATACCTTAAATTTATTCTTTCTAAGGCCTAAAATTACTTCAGTCGCTAAAGATGACAGAGTTTTAAAATTTTTAAAATCGAATGCTGCTTCTAAGAAATCAAATTAGTACCTCGCGATTTTATTTAAACGACTAATGGCATGGAAAAACTCACAATTTTTGGAAGAATTAATTGAATTAATCTGAAATTAATAGGAATTGAATATTTGCTTTCGGCGAAGTTCGCTTGTTATATTTATATCTTCAATTTTCTATAGAAGTTTTATTCGGATAACAGAAAAAGAATTCATTCTTTCCACTTCATTCATTCTTTATTGACATAAACCGCAGGTCATCCTGCATAGAACTCGCATGCGAGTTCCATAATCGCCAACATTGCAAAGATTACGATGCTTTGGACAATCGGCATGCTCATCACGACAGTTTCCAGCAGGCACTACTGCTATAAATTTACTATAAACAGTATATTTTAGCAGCTTTTTTGTATGATTTTGAGGATAGTGATATGTTGCATTGCTTGAAGGAAATTATTCGAATACTATGTAATACTAAATAAACTTTTATATAAAAGTGAAATTTGTCTAAAATTAAAATCTTATTTTACTATCGCCTTATTGTTGGAGTATATTCTATCATAATAGCTTGTCGAATTTTTGATGAGTGGCACATTAAGTGGAACTTTCTGAATGCCTTTTTTATGACATTGAAAATCAATCATCAATCACGCTTCGATAATATTTATATTAATAACCCACTTGTTAGATTTGTAAGGCAATCTCGTGAGAAGCATGTTTTTTGGCATAGTCTTCTAATACTACTGTCAGCACAGAACGCTGCGAATCCTTCACATCCCTTAATGGTGTCTGGACATCCTCCACCTGCTCCAGGTCTATTATAAAGTCCACAGGTATGTGCGCATCTTTGGAGTGCTATATCATTCAAGCGAGGTTCGCGACACAATATTTCCGTAAAACCTTCACATGGTCCAGCTAAAAAAAAATTTTATTGCGAAATAAAGCTTCTTTGATCAGCCTGTTAATTATTTTCTCGATAGTGCTGTTTTTTTTCGAAATATTTTGTTAATCAAATCAATAATTATAATAGTAATAATTTTTAATAGTAGGATAAAAATAGGAAAAAATTCAATTTTTTTTACAACGAACTGTTGTTACAGTTATATTCCTTCGTTTTGCAGCACATTGCGCATGTCTGTGGACAAAATTCTTCGGCAAATCTCATTAAAGGAGCTTCGTAACATTTTCCACTTACTTTATAGGTTGCCATGCTAAAAAGAAAAATTATTTTTTAAATCACCTGTCACATTATTTTTGAATATATCAGATTATATTCAATATATTCTATTCTATTTTCAGTTTGAATGAAAAATGCCAAATAAGCAAAAAATTAAAATTTAAAAGATGTTTTTTTTCCATTCCGTCAAGTGAATAAAAGGCCTCAAAAATACTTACGGATTCGCTTGGGCTTGAAATGACGCGGCGGCCTCACCTTGATCGAACGCAAATATAGAGGTGCACGCTGAATTTAGATCGAAGCACGAGGTTATAATTGGGCGCTGTACCGTTTGTCCATTTGCAATCTGGACGGCTTTATTGCAGACTGCAATGTCCATTGCCCCACTGTTTACGCCATATGGAAAGAAAAAAAGAATCGCGCAAACGAAGCATATCATTACCAAAACCGAATTCAGCGAAATCATATTGTAGAGCATTTAATTCGCTTTTTTATAACCATTTTTTGTGATACGCTGAAGTGTAAATATCTCTCTTTTATTTTATTTTATCAAACAGTCGTATGCAAAAAAAATTTTCTTTAACAAATAATCATTTTTTCGAAAAAAAAATTGTGTAAAAATTTTTTCACTAATAATTTTTTAGAAAATTATTTTTTTTAATTTCCAGTTCTCTAAAACTTTTTTGCTTATTCATCGAATCTAAAGCATAAATTATGCACCGTTAAATTTTTAGATGCATTTAGGAGAAGAAAGAATTTTTAAGTGAATCCACGTAATAAATACGCGATACAGCGATGCATGGAATACACTTTGGGAATGTGAAGGATTTTCTAGAATGCGATGCTATTTTATTCTTCATTCGAATAAATATCTCTTTTCTCTGTGCAAAAAATTATTAATTAAAAATTATGGCACTATTGGTACCAATCATGGATCCTTGCTTCTTTTTTTTATTAGAGAGCCCTTATTTTTATTAGAGAATTTTGTGTTGCTGAATGAATATCAAAAAATTCAAATCTGATTTGTTTTTATAGTGGTTTGTTTATTTAAAGCAAAGTTTGAATTGTTCTATAATTTTCCTTTATTTGTGCTAATTTCTCTTTAGGTGCATTTAGGAGATGAAAATATAACATTTGGAAAATATAATATCACATTTTTTTATTTGTATTTCGTTTCGATACCACTAATTTTCGTTCATTTGGTACTTCATTTTTGTTTTTAATGCAAGCTTGGTTGCTTTGCAATCAAAATTAACAGCTTTTCAATAATTAAACAAAATTTTTGCTTAATATTGATCATTTTTCAATATTTGGGTTTTCTCGAATTTTTTATTAAAAAAATTAAAAATTATTACTATTTATTAAAAAAAATAGTAAGAAATCTTTTATCCATTATTATCCATTATTCGAGCATTTTTTTATTAGTAAATTTATTTAATTTTAATAATATTCCGATATTTAAAATGTATTTATGCTTTATCTTATCACTTTTGACTATTTATTATTCTTCTGAAGAAGGAAAAACCTTTTATTCATTGAAGAAATATTTTTGTTATACTAGAAACTAATAGCATTTTAGATAATAAAAAGAGAGAACTCCACAATAGGGACCTTTTAAAATTTTTTTTTCATTTTTGCTGTTATTTAAGATTATTGATTTCTAATATATAAAAATAAAAATTTCAGTGATAAAATAATTGCCTTAGGTAAAGTATTATCATCTTTATCAGCTATATCTTTTAACGAGGAAACAATTGATATTTTAAATATTATTATCAATTTTTTTGCAAAAAAGAAGACGAAGTTTTCCCATCAAATTCGTATTTTTTTGCAAGAAAATTTAAAATAATTTTTGATATTTTGTTGACAAATTTTTTATTTTTCAAATAAATTTATCAAAATAGGAAATTCGATAGAAAATTTGTAAAAGTAATAAAACGAGAATATTTTAGAAACATTTGTATAATTTTAATTCCATTTTTTCCGATCTTTTTTTGATATACTTTTGCTAAATCAATTTAATCGTCTTTGCTCAACTTAGAATAAAACATCAATTTAGAATATAAATAATAATTTTTGGCAACGGACATTATAAATCGTTGAAAACCCAGAATAGAATCCTAATATCAGCACTGTGAGGTAAGAGCAATAGTCTGCTAACAACTTCCGTTGATTTTCGTTATTTTCATTATCATCTTTTATCTCTCCAGCCTTAACAAGCATGGTTCATCAATTGGCATCGAGCCATCCTTGATACAACTTTGGCAACCATCGTGCCTCCAAGCCAATTCAATTCTATAGAATTTCCAAGATATTATATCTAAGATCAACTTCACCTACTGTTCCGTGTGATAATTAATACGAATTTCATGAATTTGGCAAAAAAATATTAAATCGGTATAGTGCGAGGCTTTATGGATATTTATGTACCAAAATTTAATTTTCTTTTTGTATTTACAATAATGGTACTAATATTACTTCAATTTGCTGAAACATATTCATCAAAACAAGGATTTGTCAGAATAAGGATTTTCAAATTTCAAATATTAGATTTCCTAGGTGATTGAATGAAGTTTCAGTTGTGGATATAATGAAATTTCCTATTTTTTTTCTTCATTTTCAATTATTGGTATTGATAATTTATTTAAATAAATTTATTTATAATTAATAATTTTCACTAATAATTGGACAATTTGCTTCCTATAGATGGAAAAATATAATAAAACTGCTTTAACTGACATCACGAATTATAATATTCTCTATTACTTTCTAAATTCTCTCATTTCCATGACATTTCGAATAAAAAACGACCGGTTAAGAGAAAATTTTAAGGACAAATACAAACCGAAATTATTAAACATTAAACTACTTTCTGTACTTTTTCCAAAATATTTTCAGTTTTTAACGAATTTACTATGAATAATAATTTGTTAGAATTTTATTTTGGTATAGTGTAATATAACTACGAGCAATAACCGCAAGTTCTTGCGCATTGTTGCATCATTGTCGTTCGAAACACACCGCCACAGCTATTTGTGGCTCTGATTGCGGCACAGTTTTGCCTTTCGTCTCTGCAAGTTGCTGCTGCAGATGGCAAGGTCGTCCCTGAAAAAATTTTTAAGCTTTCTACTTTTAATGGCCTTTCCAATTTTGTTTTTTATATTTTCAATTTTCAAAATATTCTTAAAAAATTGTCGAAAATTACTTGTTAGACAGTCCCGTGACCTTCACGTTGTTTGGCACATATTCTTCAATCTATTGTGAAAATAAACACCCAATCCCATCAAAACGTCACAACCATCGACAGCGTCGGGGCACATATTTGCAGCACCAGGTAAATGGCAAAGGCCACAACTTTGCGGGCAAAGTTGTAACGCAAGGCTTGGAAATTGAGTGCACATTGCCCTTGAAAAATTTTTGCATGCACCATTGGCACCTCCGACTAAAGTTAATAATTTTTAACGACATGTTTACCTTTTAAATAAATCTTCAAGAATTTTCGTACAATTTTTTATTTATTTTTCTTTCTTTGACACTATTATCATTTTAATTTTTTCGATAAAAATTTGTTTCTAAGTCCATGTGCCAGATAATTTTATCTAATTACGGCTTTAGATATATATTTTTCACTTTTTCTTTTCCAAAGCTTTCTACCAGTTATTTTCTTATGATAAAATCGATTTATCAAAATTTGCGAAATGCAATAAGTCGCGCGCAGAAGTTATTCAAAAAAGTTATTTTTATTAGCCATTCTTGCACGAATTGTGGTACCAATAATGGTGTTAATCATTACCATTATCACAGTTATATTCTTTAGTCAAACAACATGTCGCACACGTTCGCGGACATAGTTGCCGTGCTAATATTTTATATGGTTCCATCTGACATTTGTCTCGAACTTTATAATCCATATTGCTGCAATATATTGGTATATTCATTTAATCCTTTCATTTTTTTAACTCTTTAACGAGATTTTGTCTAAAATTGCTAATAGTTCATTAATTGAAATGTATCTGCCAAAAAAATGAAATGAACCTCCTGAAAACTGTAATCATTCTTGATGATAAAAATGATAAACCATTCTTTTATCATTTTTTGCACAAATTGAAATTCCATGTAATAAATTAATCTTATAGAACTGCTTATTTCAAAGATAAAAGGCGGAAAGCAATTTGTAATCTTCTATGTTTCATAGAAATTATTAAATAAGATTTAGTGTAAATCACAAAATATAAATTTTTGGAAAATAATCTAAAATTTAGAATTTTACTCGCCATGGATAATGGCGAAAATTCAGCGAATTGTTCAATGATGGTCCCTTAATATCAAAATGAAAATAATATGTAAAGTTCTGAAAAATTACGGCATAAGATTTTGTGCGTATACTGCTATATCCGCATTTTCGAGCTTCAAAGCATGCCGGCGGATCACGATCTTGGCAATTATCGACAAGTACTGAAGGCCTTCGTACAAAATTTGGCCCATTTGGCACAGGGACAGAGCAAATATTTATAACGAAAACATTATCAAACATTGACAATATTGCATAACGATGCAAGGATAAACAAAGAAGCTAACATGCTTACCAGTTAAACAATTGTTTTCCATGAATTTGGTTTTATAGCCATGAAACTTTTTATATTACCTATTTCATCCATCCAAAGAAAGTGATAAACATTATCACTCCTCCACTTGAAGTCAGCTGCTCAAACATGGTTTTTCAAAAATTTTTGGTGCACATTTAGTTAAATCTACTGTTATGTAAATCACAATGTCAATTATCTATTAATTACAATTTCAAATTTTTATGCAGAAATATTAGCATAAATTTTTCATTAAGAATTTCCATGCTTTCAAAATTTTTACACTCCATTAATTAAAAAGAAATTATTTATTTCAATTAAATGTAATGATCAGAAGTAATTTGACGCAAATGATAAAAATAATGACAATAGTGGAAATGCATGATAAAATTATCAGCTTTAGGTCTAAGATAAGGACATTCCCATCAATTTAATGCTTGCTGCAGTTCTCGATGCAGCGCTTAATATCTTTTCCGTACCCAATACTTTCCTTCTCCTTCTGTCTTTTTCTGATCTTTTTCTTCTCTACCACCTTTCCTCCTCCCTCTTTCCTATCCAATTCGTCAAGACTAATATCTTTTTAGCATACCTTAAAGCTGAAACGAAACGTATTTCCTTTTCTAATTAATCCCTATGTGATAATCAAAAAATAGCAATAAAAGTACATGCGAATAATGATCAATATCATTCTCACGGATAAATGACCAAATGTGATTTCGTGCATATCGTCTAACCGCGAACTCTTATCAGTTGAACGTTAAGATAGCATAATCTATCTCTGTGAAATGGTTATCGCTTTCCTTCTCATCTTATCAGCTCTACTAAAATTCTTTTACGAGTTGGATTAAAATTTCGTGAAATTAAAAATAGTGCATAGCGTAAAAAAAATAATGATCCGAAAATCTTTAATTACTGAAAGAAACTGCGAATGATAATTGATAAATGATAAAATATTAGAAATTCGAGAAATGCCATTTTCACCTCCATGGCCATTCTCACCAACTGCATTTTAATCAATTGAGGTTTGATGGCTCGGCACGAAAATGATTGGGCTCTGCTCTTCGTTTCTTGAAAAGCAGCTTTCTTATTAATTCGATTTTCCCTTTCTCATTTTCCCTTTATTTGCTCTTTTTATTTTCCCTATATAAATGCATTAATGAGTGTTCATTCAGTGGCAAAATTTTTCACTGGCTCCATCCAAATCTCTACCGTATTAATTAGTTATCATTTAGGCGGAAACCTTATATCAGTCTATCTTACCATAAAGTAAAATTTAACTTCTGTGCTTCACTTTGAGATGAGAAGGGTGGTTTCCTTTCGCTCTCATGCATATTTGCCCATTTAATCCTAGTGGGAACTATATTCACCAACTATTTGAGAGATTAAAGCATCACGAAAAACACGACAATCTATCGCCGACAAATCGCTGGGTTTGGCTTTTACATTGTATTGGATAACTGTGGCAAACAAGCAAATCCGATGGTTCTGAAGTGAGAATTCGGACTTAATGGGTTTTTTTTTAAAACTTTTGACTTAAAAAGCACAAATTTGAAAATTTAAATAAATTTTCTAATCCAATTTTTTTATAAATTATCCATAAACTTCGCTTTTTATTAGTTTTTCGATGCCGCCATTTCTGTTTTTCGCCTAAGGCAAATATAAATGCTGTTTATAACCAATAAATTCCATTAATAATGCAAAATTCTGCATAATTTATTTTTGGTTATATTTAACATAATAGAAGGAAATTATTGGTCTCAGAGAAAGGGAATTATTAAATAAAGAAAGGAAATATAATGCAACGAAATAAAGCATGGGACTTCAACCTAAAATATTCATTCGAAGGAAAAAAAAATGTTTCTTCCAGTCTATCGACACAAACCACAAGTCAACCGGCATTTAACGCGCATGACAACTCCATAATCGCCAACATTGCAAAGATTGCGGTGCCTTGGACAGTCGGTATGGTCGTCACGACAGCTTCCCTGCGATACTGCAATAAATAGAACAATTTTCACATTATTATGGGAGTGGAAGATTTAGTGATTCTCCTAAGGCCCGATTATTCGATTATTGCGAGGAACTTATCACATGCGCGACCATGAAATATGCAAATTATTCTTAGATTATAATAC